AATCATTTTATTTATTCCAAATGCCTGCGTATTATTCTTGGTGACTAAAGCTTATCAGATATTCTTTCTTAAAAACCTCGATAGGCACGCATTATTCGCGAAGAGATTCTTGTCAAGGATTGGGATGTTATCGTGACCAGTTATGAAATGTGCATCAAGGAGAAGGGGGTTTTGCGAAAATTTAATTTTTTATACCTTATAATTGATGAGGCGCATCGCATTAAGAATGAAAAATCTAAGTTGTCTGAAATAGTGCGTGAATTTCGTTCTCAAAACAGACTTCTGCTCACTGGTACTCCGCTTCAAAATAACCTACATGAGCTCTGGGCACTTTTAAATTTTCTCATGCCGGAAATGTTCTACAATGCTGAAATGTTCGATGAGCTCTTTAACAATTCCTCCGTAGAGGAAGAGAATTTGGTCTCTCGGCTACATTCCGTGAGTTGTTTTCTCATACTCTATATATCATACTCCATTTTTGTCATTAATTCATGCTTGTGTCTGTGTTCTTCTATTAGGTATTACGACCGTTCCTCTTGAGGAGAATTAAAGCCGATGTAGAAAAAAAGCTACCGCCTAAAAAAGAAACGAAAATATACATTGGTTTGAGCAAGCTACAACGTGAGCTATACACAAAACTACTGCTTAAGGATATCGATATAGTTAATTCTACTGGCAATAAAATTGAAAAAGTCCGTCTACTTAATATCCTTATGCAATTGCGAAAATGTTGCAATCATCCCTATTTATTTGATGGAGTTGAGCCCGGTCCGCCCTACACGACCACCGAGCATATTGTCAATAATTGTGGGAAAATGATTCTTCTTGATAAACTTCTTTCGAAGCTACAGCAGCAAGGCTCAAGAGTTTTAATTTTCAGCCAAATGACGAGAATGTTAGACATTCTTGAAGACTACTGTCTTTGGCGGGAGTTTGAATACTGTAGACTGGACGGAAGCACACCCCATGAAATTAGACAGGTGACTAATTTAATCATTCATTTTGTACCCCTTATTCATTTAATCACTTACGAATTTTCCAGGTCTCTATTGATGAGTTTAATCGACCAGGCTCAACTAAATTTCTTTTCATGTTGTCTACTCGTGCTGGTGGTCTCGGAATCAACCTTGCAACAGCTGATGTTGTCATTATCTATGATTCAGATTGGAATCCTCAAGTTGATTTACAGGCGATGGATCGAGCTCATCGCATTGGTCAAACTAAGGCTGTCCGTGTTTTTCGTATGATAACGGATCACACAATCGAAGAAAGAATTATAATGCGAGCTGAAATGAAACTCAGATTGGATAATCTTGTTATTCAGCAAGG